GACAAACAATAATAACTTGCGTGTGTGCATTTGACATGGAATTCAACACCACACCAACGAGAAATTCAATTGCATGAGATCTTAGATAATAAAGATCTCTGTGGTGGAGAAATATACAGCCTCAGATTTTGTGTGTGTGTATGCATGTATTTATTTATTTATTTGAAATATAAGGTAAAGGAAGATGTACTTATATTTGACAGTGGTTTTATGAAACGACCAACGATAATATCCAGTGACTGAAACTACATTTTATTAAATCAAATGTTGCCACTTGGGCTGAATATTTTATACAACCTGACAATAAACATTTTGGCATTTTACATTAAGAATATGAGAGCATGTGTACATCTTTTTTTTTTAAATAAATATATTGCAAATGTCTAGAAAAGTTTAAATGTACAGAAAAATTAAACTGACACGCAAATTAAGGTGCACATGTGACGAACAAAAAAATCGATCACGTGATTTCAAACAAACGATTACAGCCTCGGGACTTTTCATTGCAAACTGCGCTGCGTTCTCAAGTAGCCTATATATGGAGTCTCTGTTTCATAGGCTCAAAGTCCTCTAAAAACAGCAAACAGACCATGCATTTCAGGCTTTATTTACATTCACATGAGCACTAATGCTTAATCCTCTTCATCCCCAATGAGACATAAGAGCGCACATTATAAACATCACATTACAGTACTTTGCATATTAAAAAACATAATATAAATACATGCTGAGTAGGACAATGTGTATGTTTGCAGAAGGAGGTTTAAAACGGAACAAAGTGTGAATCTGTCACAGAAGCTCGCCAAAAGAAAACAACACTGTGCGAACTTAAAACTATTGCAGTGGACTAAATTACGATGCAACTTTATCCTGTGAATGTTTACACGTTTGGACATTTTTTTCCAAAGCAACGAGCAGCGAGATATGTCAAATTGACAAAGGCTTTTTAAAACTAATGCATTCCTATTGCATAGCCTATGCATGCAGTCAAAGCAGATATTGAAATTACAGAATCAAATGACTTACCATCAAAAAGAAAAACAAACAGAGTAAGTACAAAGTAGCCTCCCATTGTTTTAATTGTCCTCCCCAGGTGAATCATTTAAACTGAATGTTTAATTCTGCTTCCTTCTTTTCTGATAGGAAATAGGGGCATTCCTTTTAAAAAAAATCGGTGTAAGGATAAAAGGGAAAAAGAAGAAAAGAAAAAAAGAACACGGCAATTACATTGGCTCTGATTTTCCTTGTACAAGAAAGCGATACAGGTGTGCTTTTATTTCTACGGTCTGTAGGCGGGGCGGGCAGTGTTGTATAAACCTGCTCAACTCGTAACAATTAAAAAGATCAGCCATAATTCTAGGTGAATCACACTGAATCACGTTCTAGGTGAAAATATATTAAAACAATCTAAGCTTGTTTGCTGGTTGCTGGTCTGTTTGCAGCTTTATTTGGTCACTTGTCAGTTAGCATGACACCATCTACCCCATAGAAAACAATCCGTGAAAACGATTTACTAGCGATGTTATGTATGCAACATGTAACATAGCTATAGTGCATATATTGGATATATTTAAGGTTCGCAATTTAAGTTTCGTAGCAAGGCTATCGTTTCCCAGTAAATCACGTGACCGGCAGAGGAGCCTAGGTTTCGTTTCATTTTAAATTGGCCTATGAGAATGCTCCCAGAAAAACAGTACAGGGGCTTTAAAACATAACAAATGAAGTTTTGTCTGATTCTCTGTCACTGGAAGCTCGCCCCCACCCCTCCAAAAAAAAAAAATAATAATAATAAACTATTGCAATATGCCTACTGAATTACGATGCAATTCGTGGATTAACTTTATCTTGTGAATGTGTGTGATGCATATATTCGTCCAAAGCATCTTACAGGCAAAGTTTCAATTCAAACCTTTTTTTGGTGCATTCTAAAAACGGAATAATTTATTACAAGGTAAACAAAAGCCCCCACTATATGGTTGCATTCGAACACAGACAGGTTTTTAAAACCACATTCTAAAATAAACAGCACTTTTTTTTTTTTCTGGCGAAGAGAATGAACGCAATTCACCGAATGCGACACCTCCTGTGTGTCAAAGCGAAACAATCTGGTTTCATTTATTTACAAAGAAATGGGGCTCGACCTTATGGATGGAAAACCTGTGCGTATTATTGGATGCATCATTTTTTTTATTATATGAACCACACAGTCTGACTTCCTTTTTACAAAAAAAGCTGTATCCTACTCATGTTTGAAAAAGAGTCAAATAAGAGTCACAATACACGTTTTTGTCTTATACTCATCATTCATCTCTCATAGACACTAATATATTTGGCTAAGCATTATAAATTAAGTTATAAATTCATTTCATGGCATGACTTCTCCCTGTTCTGGTGTGTGTATAAATACGTTGCCACAAAAATAATGAAAGACTGATTTAATAAACTGCCATAAACTTTTAACATATGCCTGTATTGCAGAATGTTTTCTGCCACTATACAGTGAGTCTTAATATATGTTACACATTGTAACTGTCATTTAAGTGAAACCCTAGTGTGTGGTCAGTGAAGGGTGGTCGAATCCTGTTGGGGGAGGATCCACACACGCGCTAATATCTCACTTCTAAACAGTCAACTTTCAGATATTTTCATTAGAAAGTTAGCATGCTCAAAGAAAATGGTTCATATTGTCCTTTTGTTCTGCTTGTATTTGTGGCAAATAAATGGTAAGTTACAAATGTGTGTTTTTGTGCTTTTATATTATGTTTTTACTGATTTAGTTCATGCTTTGTTTGTTGCACAGGGTAATATGATGGATTTGCATAGAAAAAGGATATTATGAAATCAAACTAAGATATTGCTGTAAGAGCTATTGGATTCAGGTCTAACATCAGGAGATCAAATTTATAAAATTCAGTCCACCTGTTCACATGAGCTCATCAAATTCAGAAAAAAAGTGAATGTCCCATTAAATATGTGAAACAAACATAATTTTACAGTGTCAAGATTGAAAAATATTCAGTTATTTTGTTTTATATGTTACTTATAATATGTTACTTGTGTGAAGCATCACCATTAAATAAATGTTTTGGAACCACCAGAATCTCTGATCTGTGACAAACTCTCTGTTCATCAGGTGTGTTTGCTGATACAGATGCAGTGAAGTCAGTGTCCGTGCTGGAGGGAGATTCAGTCACTCTAAACTCTAATGTTACTGAATTAATGGATGATGATCTGATTCTGTGGAGGTTTGGATCTGAAAACACTTTAATAGCTGAAATCAATGTAATGGATGGCAGCATCACTGTATATGATGATGTTCTTGATGAGAGATTCAGAGACAGACTGAAGGTGGATCATCAAACTGGATCTCTGATCATCACAAACACCAGAACTCAACACACTGGACTCTATCTACTACAGACCAACAGTGTGAGCAAGAGTTTCTCTCTCACTGTCTATGGTGAGTTAAGTATTGGTTTCTTTTATTTGTAGTTTTAAAGAATATGTGCATCCTAAAGATTTTCAGTCTTAAAAATGATAGCATCTGAGATACACCTTTATTTTCACTTTAATTTTAAACCTATTAAACAGTTTCCTTTTGATGAAATATTCCAAGGTTGCTATCTCAGACGATGTTATTAAAAAACTGAAATCACAAACACTCAATGAATGACATCACAAACTCTAACTCAACAGCTGAAACAGTATCATTTACTCTGATGTTTCTTCTATTTCTCAGCTTCTTTGCCCACTCCTAACATCATCAGAGACTGTTCTTCATCATCATCATCA